CCTGCTGCTGCACCTGTTGCTGTCCCAGCACCTACCTTCACAGCTCCTGCTGCTGCACCTGTTGCTGTCCCAGCACCTACCTTCACAGCTCCTGCTGCTGCACCTGTTGCTGTCCCAGCACCTACCTTCACAGCTCCTGCTGGTGCACCTGTTGCTGTCCCAGCACCTGCCTTCACAGCTCCTGCTGCTGCACCTGTTGCTTTCCCAGCACCTACCTTCACAGCTCCTGCTGCTGCACCTGTTGCTGTCCCAGCACCTGCCTTCACTGCTGCTGCTATTGCACCTGTTGCTGTCCCAGCACCTGCCTTCACTGCTCCTGCTGCTGCACCTGTTATTGCCGCAAATTCTGCTTTCGGTGCTGGAGTTTTTAGTAACGGATTCTTTAAGGCCCACTAGAGTAACTAAAAGATGTTCTTCTGGATAAAAATTTCACTGTATTCAAGATGCCTCACTTTGTTTCTTATTATCTGTGTTTACTGTTGCTTATTTATTGTGAAATCCTGTTTCGAAATATAAAGCTGGTCTTTATTCCTCTATCGTGTTTGACTTCACGTATTTGCTTACGTTGTAGTCTAATACTGAAATAAAAAAATTACAAGAAAACCTGTGCATGTATTTTGTATTAACATTATTATATTATTAATCTTATAGATACACTGATCAAACCGAGTGTGAATATTATTGTATAAGATAAAGTTAATTTTATAGACAACAGAGCCGACGCTAGGGGGATACTGGGATAGTTTGTTTGTGTGTTATGAATTTCGCGCAAAGCTGCACGAGGGCTATCTGCTCTTGTCGTCTGCTAATTTAGCAGTGTAAGACTAGAGGGAATGCAGCTAATCATCACCACCCACCGCCAACTCTAGGGCTACTCTTTTACCAACGAATAGTGGGATTGGCCGTCACTTTATAAAGCCCCCACGGCTGAAAAGGCGAGCATGTTTGGTGTGAAAGGGATTCGAACCCGCGACCCGCAAATTGCGAGTCGATCGCCCTAACTACCTGGTCATGTACTGGGGGTAGTCCGTGCACCTCCAAGTTTCGCTCTGGCTCTCCCAATTTTATTATCTTAGCGATTTAAAACATCATAATACCAATTTTAGAAAAATCGTATGATTTTTTTAAATCCTTAAGAAAAGTCAACAAAAGCTGGAGCAGGGTTTGAGAGACAATGATCAAATTAAGTGTTGTAATGAAGGTTATAAGAATATCTATATAAATATAATAATACTGTCTGTTGTATGTTGTGTGTCCATGTAACTACTTTGCAGGGTGTGAATGAAAGTTCACCATAATTGGTCTAAAGGTTCATTTGGTCTATGCGGGGGTATATACAAATTTTCAGTTTTGCGGTTTTTAGGCGTTTTTTACCACTACCTATTTATTCTAGCTTGACTATTTTTGAGAGCATGTAAGATGTTTTGACCAGGTATCACTAATTGTTTTTCATTGATTACAAATTTTGATAATACACAACTAAATTCAATGAAAATGTGTGTATATGGAATGGTAGGGGTAAGACGGCCAATCTACCTTTAAATGTGATTTTCATCAATTCAGGTGGATGTCCTAAAAAAGCAAAAAGGTTTTAAAATAAGCCCTGTTTTATTATAAATGCCGTTTATAGATAAAAGGAAGAAAGAAAGTATACCTTTTTTTAGACAATGCACTTCCTGAGGTTAAGTGTCGTCTTACCTGAAAGGTTGGATAAAATGGATCCCCAAGATGGGGTAAAATAGTTCCTATCTAACTCAAAAAAATTTCAGTTTAAATCTGCATTTAAATCACTTAACTGCTTCCAGAAAATTGTGCATTATCTATAAAAACGGTGAAAAAGAACGTGGGTACTAGTCTTAACCTCAGTCACTCATCGTAAAGCAAACACGCATTATAAAACAAATCAGTGAACTTGAAATTTCTCCATTTTACAACAAATTCGGCTGTCTATTAGAGCGATCGACTCGAATCTGTGGGTCGCGGGATCGAGTCCCGGACCCAATCATGCTCGTTTTTTCAGCTGTTAAAGTGTAATTTGACAGTCAATCACAATAGTCGTTGGTAAAAAGAGTAGCACAAGAGTTGACTGCAGGTGTCCCTCCCGGTGGATCAGTGGTAAGTTTATGGACTTACAACGCTAAAATGCGGAATTCTAAATACCCCGTGGTTGAAACAGTGCAGATAACCCATTGTGTAGATTTGCTCTAAGAAGAGAACAACGATAACTTGACGATAGGTGCTGCCGACCGATTGTGTTCGCTCTACTATGTTAAACAGAGGTTCAGATATCTATCAGTGGAATTTTGTTTCCTGTTGGTCTTTCTTAGTTTACAAATTATATGTATGGAATTTTAGTTAACGTTTACTTACCACGTTGAACTAAATTTGCACATATAGGATCTGAAGTTATTCTTCAAAATTATTTAATAAACAAACTATTTTAAAATTTCAGAAATAAATACAATGTCCAATATAAGAAAACTAAGCGTGTTAATTCTATTTGTCCTAGCCCAGGGTTACTGATGAGGGATGGAATTCCCCGAAACCAGTATAATTTAGTGAAAAGTATTGAATTGTGTGATAGGTAGTTCTTCATATTTATTTCTAGTTTGTTTATACAGGGTAGTCCAAAATTATTTTTCCTATTCTAAAATTTAATAATTAAATAATTAAAGAAAACAACCATGCAGTTTTCAGTATCTTGTAGCCCAACTTAAACAGTTTTATTGACATGTCAACAGACTTCTACGTAACTTAAGGACTCTCAGTACGTCTAACTGATATTTGATTTTAGTCTACGTTCGCTGCAACTTGCCCACAAATACAGTGGCAATGGCATCCATTATCCTGGTCTTTTAACTCCGCGATGTTTATTGTAGGTGTGCGCTACACAATGACCTTAACATACCCCCAAAGAAAGAAGTCAAAATGATGTCTGGCGAACGTGGAGGCCATGGAATTGGTGCACCCTGCAAGTTAAACAACGTATTAAGCCTTTTCTTGCACAGTTACTCTTTTACAGGGTAACGCTACTCACTGGAGTGAAAAAAAAAGGTCAATAAAAAATATTTGAGTTGGACTACAAGATGTTGAAAATTGCTTGGCTGTATTTCTTTAGTTCTGTAATTATGAAATTTTAAAATAGGAAAGATAATTTCGCCCCTTCAATAACGGGAAGAAAAAATAAGTTTATCATTTACATATTTTAAAATGAAATAGATATAAAAACTGCTTCTTTTTATGCAAATATATATATCTTCTCAGAAACATAGAAATAGTGGCATTCCAGCATTTGGAACAGAAGCGCAATATTTCAGACTTGACCAAAGCCTCGGTCCTGCATAGGGTCACGGCACTGTTCCTCTCACATTTAACATTAGTTTAAAGGTAGTCATATAAATCGTTTTAGGTGTTAAGTTCAAAAAATCATTTTATTGTAAAATTCATGAATTCCTTTAAAATAACGTCATTATTAACTGTGTAAAGAAGTTTGATTCAAATTCCAGTCTCATGGCCAAACAATCACACCTTAAAATAATCCAAAGAAATCTAATAAACAAATACATTTACAAGCAAACAAGTAAAAATGTACTATAAGTTGTCATAGTGTATAAAGCCTTATATAATGTAGCATGAGATATGGATCTGTGTGACATTATTTCAGTATCCTGGATTAACAATATTAGTGGGGAATAACAAAATGTCTTGTGTTAAACTTTATTTAATTCTGCGTTTTGTTTTTCTGGATAAACAAAACAAATCCTTGAGCTTCAACTGTTACCATTAAACGACTTCTTCAGGCTGTGTGTGCATATAGATATTTCAAACTTGGTACAGTGTTTGTTCTAAGATCACTAAAACAGGTGTGGATATTGTATCACCAAAACAATAAGACAGAAAATAATATTTCGGTTTCATCGCTGGAGTTTAACAGTATGGAAAACCTGTACGACTCGTTAAAATCTTTAACTTCAGTATCCTCAGTTAACTAAACAACAGTAGAACAGCACATATTTTTCAAATAGGCTTATTAACTAAATTTCTTGTACAATTAAATTGCACGTATAAACACACATAAGCTTTGATTGTTACTGCTAACGATATATATTTTCTCAGACTCTGGGTGAATATCGATATTTGAAGCTTAGCATAGTGTTTTCTTGTTTGTTAGTTTATTCTACGATCACTCAGTCAGATGTGATTATTGTATCACCAAAACAACTGGGATTGTAAAGCTGGAAACTAATTTGTTCCTACAACCACTTAGTGAGAATTTCACACGTGCTTACTGTAATTGCGGAAACGTGCACACGCCAGGACCAACAGTCAAATCTACTTAGTTCTGTGGTATAGTTATGTGAAGTTCAGGTTAACTTACAAGTTACTATGTAGTTTCTAATCTAGAACACATAATTCTGGGAAATTCGAGTAATGTTGTCGTCCTTGAGGGTTTATGTGCACTTTATCGAAAGGAGTTCGGTAACAAAAAAAAATAAAAAATGATTTTGCTTTGTGCGTTCAATAGCGAAGTATGTGGAAATACGTTTACTGGGTCATGGTGACGTTATCAGCCAGTATAAAAGTGGATGGAAGCGAAGTGAAAATCAGGTGTTAACTCAAGTTGTCCAGAGAGAAGAACAGCAAGAAAATGATCGCTAAGGTAAGTTAATAAGATCTAACGTAGTCTAAGAAATATATCTAGCTAGCTATACCGTTTGTATCAAAACAATAATTATAGAGAAAATTAACACTCTAGACACAAATAGTTTTAGCCTACAGATTAGTCTTGTTACATATTATTAGAATGTTGCCTAAGAAAAGTCGTTATTTCTTAGGTCTTTTTTTTTCTCTTCATGTCTACAGATCATGTATACTGTATTATTTATCTTTAAGTTAAAGTGAAAGGTAAATGTACATTGCGTTCTTCTTTCGTTTGAGGCTACATTATGTTCCAATAAAAACACCTTCGCAAATTCAGTTAAGCATATTACAATTGTTTATCTGGGAAAAAATCCAGTCTTTGTCTTAGCTGTTAAAGTGGAGGATTCCGAACATCAGTTAAACACGTATTTCCAGTTAATTTCTTAATCCGATTGTTATATAAGAAGATTTTTATTGAACAAATAAAGATTAACTTTTCGTTCATAGATTGCCATCCTCTGCGCCCTGGTAGCCGTCGCCCATAGCGGATTGATTGCTGGACACGGTCTAGCAGGTGGCTCTAGTATCAGTTCTCGCCGACAGGACGTAAGTATCGTTTGTACACATTATATATAAAAATGACAAAACCAAAGCACTTCGCGATAATTAACAATACAAAATAAACGCTGTAAATTATTTTAAGTGAAATACTTTTCATATAATATTATTTTTAGGTCTTTGGTATCTAATTAATGAAAGGAAATCTTTCTCGGTCGTTTGTAATATTTTCAACACAACGTCTTTTTTTTTTTTTGCAGGACTTTGGTAACTACGCCTTCAACTACGACATTGTTGACCCAGTTGGAGCTACCAATGGCCGTTGGGAGGCAAAAGTCCAGCTCCGTATAGACCTCCTCCATAGGCGGGGAATCCGTAAGCGCCAGCAGCAATGGCGGGTGCTCCGTAAAGACCACCAGCAAAGGCAGGGGCTTTATAGGCTCCAGCAGCTAAAACAGGAGCTCCATAAACAGCAGCAGGAGCAGCAGCAAGAGCAGGAGCAACAACAGGGGCAGCAATGGCGGGGGCGGCAAAGGCAGGAGCAGCAACAGCAGTTTTCACTACAGCAGGTCCGTGAGCGACAACACCTGGTTGGCTGGAGGCCACAACGGCTGCTGCAGGAGCACTAGCGGCGGTACCTGGTTCGTTGGTCTTTACAACAGCACGGAAACCGGCACCATCAGCAACGTATTCAACTCTGCGGGCACGTCCGTCGATGTCAGTCAGACTGTAGGCTCCACGTTTGTTTCCATAACCGTCTCCAGAAGAGTGCAGGCTTTGGAGAAGATTGAGAAGACAATCTTGAGGCAAGCTGTGGAAACATAGCAGAGCAGGAAGGAATACTGTGTATGTGTGTTTATTGTCGAAGAAATTTCGCAAAATATGATTTAAAAATATTCAAAAAAGCAGGAAAGAAAGAAAGCAATAGCAATGACAATAGAAGATTTGAAGCACGGAAGCTAAATCAGTTTGAAAACAATTAAGAAGTAAGAACTACATGACAGATTTAAACCAGACATCAAAATATAAGTATTTAGTGGTATTTAAGCAGGTTCAAAGTTTAGGAATAGTTATAACCTGAACGCTCGCTATTATAAAACAGTACTTGTATCAGTACTTATTTTGTATTTTTCCTTACTTTCTGGAGTTTTAACTTTTCGCTGTCTTGTTGTATGCAAAAAATGACTAATTTAATTCTGATACTAATGGTAATTTTGAACACGAAGGAAAAAATCAAGCTCAGTTTTCTTATTTGTCAATATACGTTTATTACTATAATATAACCTGTACAAATATACATCATCACACGCAAGATTTAACATCATGCTTTTTAGAGGTACTTTAAAAGTAAACACGAATAAATTTGATATGAAGATTCGGTACTGCTAGTGGTTAAAAATGACGACTTATTTTGAAGTAACATTTCAACAATATGTTATATTTACTGATATACTCATGCGCTGTTGCCAAATATGACATAATATGTTAAACCTATAAATAATTTATCACAGACTTTACAACATCTTTGAAGGTTAAATTTACCTGTCTCTTAAGAATGAATAAAGATTACTCTTTGTTTTTTGTGAACCACACGTATTGTCTCTTTCCTGACGGTCAAGTTCCATTATTCAATTAGAGTATCCCACGAGCTACTAGTGCGAAATCTTGACTAGCTGCTTTCCTCTACCCTTTAAGTTCAAAATTAAGGATGACTAGTACAAATAGCCCTTGAGTAGCTTTGCGCGAAATTCAACAAACAAGAGTATAACAACATCTTTACTGCTGCACATTACGTACTTGCCGTGAAGACGTCTTGTCAAATCGTCTTCAAAACTGTGCTAATATGAGAAAAAAATAACCTGTGCGACATTATTTCCAACAGAGGAAAACTGTAACATTACTTTCCTCTATATGTATACAGATAATCAGACACGAGTGACATTATATTAAGAAAATTTCTTGGTTATTTTAGAAGTAAATTAATCATGAACATGGTATACTCTATCTCTTTACTTCTGAAGACACGAAATGCTGACAATTTTAGTTAATCAGAAATATTAAAAACTTCACCTATAATTATTGTTACTCGAAGTGTTATGTTACAACATTTTAGTTGTTGATATTATTGTCATTGTAAAAGCTAAGATAAGGCTTAACATCGTGAAACAAGAAAACAGAAACACGATGCTTTAAAAAAAAATGCTTTTAAGCACAATGGGTTATCTGTATTGAGCTTTCGCGGAGCCATTGGGTGTCTTTATGAAAGTATATTAAAGTAAACATAAAAATTAAATACAAAATAGAATGTAATCATACTTGAAATACTTATACACGATCGAACAAAATGTGCAAAACACAGCTGCTTTCTCGAGATGAGGACTCCTAGAAACTACCAAAAATTACTAAAACCGTTCTGAAAGGGGCTTCACTTCTGCAGCTGAGCCAACACACGCAGGCAAACTTTGTTTGTGACAGCTCTATCTTACCACTAGAAGCTACATCACAAGGTTGATTTAATAATCACCTTGGTCAACACACGAATGAGAAGACCGAGACCGACCAGACTGGCGACAAATATAAAGGTGACAATCCTCAGTGTCGTGTTTGCCAAATATCGATATTCAGCTTTCATGTTTAACCACTTAGGGATACTATAAGTTATATTAACATGTCAGAATGCGAATGTTTATGTGGTTATCAAAGAATTTACACTTATCAAGCTCTAGCTTAAGACCGAAACATTCGTGAAATATCTAAAGCTAATCTATATGTGACTTTGTCATGTTTTAACACTTTTGTGTTGTTTTATGAAAGGTAATTCATGTACTAAATTTACTTATTTTCCTTCAGATATCCTGCAACTGTCTTAGCTAGATGAGTAAACTGTCTGATGTATCAAATCATTTATTAAGTTCATGTAACTCTTTTCTCGGTGGGATTGGGGGTAACTGACAGTAACATTTTGTCTGTTTGGTTGTAACATTTTTTTTTCCATTTAATTGTATTTTGTTTTGTCGTAATATAGATTTATCTGATTTTTTACGTGAAAACTATTTCGTGTGGATGAATCAAGAGAGACATTGCCATTGTCTTACCTCAGAACTTAATTTTGTATTATCTGTTTCTTTGTTTCCTGCATTTCGCGCAAAGCTACTAGAGGGCTATCTGTGCTTGTCGTCTCAATTTTTGAAGTGATGGACTAGGGGGAAGGCAGCTAGTTAACACCACATACCTCCTATTCTTGAGCTACTCTTTACCAACGAGTTGTCGAATAGATCGGCACAATATAACGCTCCCAGGGCTGAGAGGGCAAAAACGCTCGAAAACGAGTTTCGATCCCGCGCCGTACAAATTATGAGTCGAACGTCCTAACAACAAGACCAGTTTTGTATTAATTAGCCTTTTGATGCATCTTAAGTGAAAAAAATAAGTATAATTTCTCGGGTTCAAATCGTGACATCTCACAGTATTTCATTCTCTACTGTCCCTCACCCTTCCTTATCGAAAATTTTAAAGTTCGTCAGGCTCTTCGTGGCCCCTTTTGGCTCGCCCCCTCCCTGCGACTGCGGTGGCTGCGGGGACATACTTACATCACTGATACGATGTCTGTCTTAGCTTCGGGAACGTTTATATTGACAGGAACTCTTTAACGAAAGTAGGTTTAGAAATAGGAAATAAAACGATGGAGACGCATCTAGAACGACGATGTTTTATTATATATGAACTACCCTAAAACACTAAGCCAGTAGCTAAAAAATAAAGAGATAATCGTACAAATTGGTTTCAGTTTCGATAATTCTAATGAAATTTTAATCAGGTTACTGAAGAGGGAGATGAAAACCCCAGTAGAGAAAATGTAATTGTTTATTGTTAAGCGCAAAGCTATACAATGGGCTATCTGTGCTGTACCAATCACGAGTATGGAAAACCGGTTTTTAACGGTGTGATCTCTTACACTTACTGTTGAGCTACTTTGGGCGATAAATATAGGTGGCGCAATTACTTTTTATGCGGGCGTCCTCATCTTTTGTAGTTATGTCACTGTGTCATATTGAATTAATATCATCGAAGTTGATACTTTTTTATGCAGATTGAACGTTTCAACAACTTACCATAAAATTTTTTAAATGAAGATTGCAACACCATAATAAAGATCAATCAATTTATTTTCGCGCACTTTATCCTACATAAATAATATATCGGACATGATTACCATATTAAAAGCAAAAAAGAATAAGTTTCGTAACAAGAATGATTCCGTTTTTTTTAAATTTCATATTTATTAGCCCTGTATTATATTGTCGTCATCAAAATGGCCATGTTGAAAAAGTTGGTAAAACACCACTTTACCAGTGTCAGATTTAAAAGATAATAATATTATATATTTATATGGATTGTTTTTTTGTGTGTTTTTTTGCCAATTGTCGAAATAAATGGCCTTTACTTATATTTCTTAATAGTATAAATATATACTATGTTGTTATAGGGCTTATGATTCTTCTAGTTCTACAGTAAGTGTCTGTGACTTGTTAGCGATAAATTCAACGATGAATAAACAGCACAAAATTTGACTTGTTTTTAAATAATACATATACTCGGAACAAGTTAAACGTATGTACAATAAAATGTTCACATTATAGAGAATATAAGCATATCGTAAACGTTATATCAGTATATGTATAGTTCTCCTCTTCTTGTCAAAGGTCCACTTAGGCCTGTTCAATTACTTAAAAATCTCAGTTGACAAGCCAAACTATTTTCTTTGATACTATCGCAATATTCGTCTTGTGGGATTCACTTACGATTGTGGTCTTTCTTCTGAAGATCCTCTGTTCCTTTTTTCAAAGTGCACTCAGGCTGATTAAATTACTTTATAATTTCGCTTTGACGGAATAAATTTATTTTTTCTTATTTTTTTCCACTGTTAGTTTCATTCTAATATATATATATATATATGTATGAAACGTTAGGCCTATCAGTTTTACGTTACTTAACTTCACACCAACTATGTTCTATTTGCTTTTCTCTATCTAATACTGTCTGTCTGCTGCTTCCCGCTCGTCTCACGCTGTTTATATCTTTATTACATACTCGTCTGGCCACTTTCTATATTCTCGACACCAATTAGTTATTAACAAAACCTTCTACAATCGTCTGCTTTTAACTATTATTATAAAAAACTTAAAAATAATAAAATATTCACTCACAAATATAAATTAATCAGTAATATTTAAACCAAACAGTCTTTTATATCATGACACAAACCCCTCTTCAAGATAAAATATTTACAATATATATATGTTTAGAGGATGCTTCTGTTCAACTAACACAGTTTCTGTGGTTAATGATTTTGAAAATATCCCAGAATGCACTTTTGAAAGCTACTAATAGCATATTAAGTTGATTTGTTCAATATCTCGTTTGACGGCTTCGTCAGGGACATAATCCATACATGCAATCAACATCTAGACAAGGACACACCAGCAAGGTGTATGAAATGTTAAATACGTTTAAAATACCGGGACGTGTGAATTTATCCTAAAGAAAAATTATGGAACTTTACAAAAATATTTCTATCAATTTCTCACATTTCCAAAGTACGGTGAGTAGTTTTACAAACTCAATTCACTTATTCACATGAAATATATGGAGTGAAACCCGTTTTTCAATATACAGTAAGTTGTATCATAAATTCTTGTCAAATTGTAACTGAGTTTGACCTCGTATAGTGGTTGATTTGGCCCTCTATATATAATCGAGAAACATGAAACACACGTTGAAAGTTGTCTTCTAAAAGAACTATAAACTTCATTTAAAAACATGGAACCAAAAGTCTACAAAAGGAAAAGTAATATGTAATTTCCATAGGCCTTATTGTAAGCGAAAGAAGAACTAACCTTCTGATTAAAACTCTCCTGGATGTCAGTAGTAGAAAAGTTGATGAAATTCTCTTTCTACATTACAAGACAACTTGGAATTTTGGCTGAAGCTAAGAAGGACTTAGAAACTAAAAATCTGAGTCGTCTAAAAAAATCTTAACATTCATCGTAATTTTTTTAATATCATAGAAACATTACACGTTCGTTTCGGTTTCATCGCTGGAGTTTAACAGGAAACACCCATAGGAATTGTTAAGATCTTTAACTTCAGTATTCTCAGTTAACTAAACAACTTTATTAAATAAATTTTCTGTATAATTGAAGTACGCATATAAACACACCCATAAGCTTCGATTGTTACTGTTAAAAATTTTCTTCAGACTGTGGGTGAATGTTGATATATGAATTTTAGCTAAGTGTTTTTATTATTATTTGTTTGTTTGTTCTAAGATCAATCATTCAGGTGTGATTATTGTATCACCAAAGCAACTGGTTTGTAAGGTTGATAAAATAATGTGTTACTACAGCCACCTAGTGAGAATTTTACAACAAGCTATAACAAACTTGCGGAAAGGTGCATGCACGAAGACCAACAGACTTAGTACTTTGGTATAGTTATATGAAGTTCAGATTAGCTTACACGTTCGAATGTATTTCCTGGTCTGGTAGACATAATTCTGGGAAATTCGGGTAATGTTGTCGTCCTTGAGGGTTTATGTGCACCTTATCAAAGGGAGGAGTTCAGT